ATAGTCGCACCGGTAGTGATGTCATGGCTGTCGCCGGCCAACGAGCATTGAACTCGTTCCCTACTCAGGGAACCATGGTTACATAAGTAACCTGAGACGTTAGTAATGATCAAATTGCAGCTGGGAATGTCAAACAATAAAGCAATGCTTTCCTGAGGAGCAGGAGATTTGATATGAGAGATGAATCTGACTGTGGCTACTATGGAGTGATGAGATCATCTGCTGGAGGACTCGTGTAACTGCAGACGTGACAGTAGAATTAATTTATATAAACATATTAGATGTGAATTCTGCCTGCTTCCCATTGCATGCTCAAAGAAAGCTGTATAATGAAGTGAGGAAATAATTGATGTTACAGAAAACACTATGAATCACGACTGAAATTAACATTAGGGCCCGGGCAAGGAGGGGGCCCATGATTGGCTGTAGAGGAAAGGAAAAGCAGGCCTAGAATGATTGAAACCATGCATGGTTGTTGCATGAATCATGATCTTACAGTTAACTCTGGATTAAAGAATTACAATAGCTTTTCATTAGGGCAACTTCAAAGCAGAATTTAATACTTATAATAAACTAATATTAATTCAGTAATTAAAAGCCTGCAACATAATAAAATAATAATATTGTTAAATGCATTTGCACTATATTCAGAAACATCTATTATTATTATTTGTTTCTGTCTTTTATTCACTAATAGAAAAATTGTCTATTCCAATGTAAAGGCCTTAACCCCAGCAAAACATTTATGGGAGAATGTGTGGGTCGGATGGTCAAATTTTAGCCCCAGTACAGCCTTAATTATTTATTTTTTATTTATTTATTAATTACTTAATTTATTTTTATTTATTTGTTTGTAATATTGGATATTCAATTAAGCTGAAACCCAATACTTGCATTCAAATGTGTAATCCAGCATTTTCTCTCAAAAAAACCCCATTGTCAAATGGCCCTGCAAATGAAAGATGCATTTTGAGGCTGCATTTGATAGCTTGCATCTGCAGCTTATATTCATCTCTTGAAGGACGCAGCCTCTGAATTGGGATGCAGCTATTGTGTCAATCTTCTGCAGTAGATCACTGACCTTGAGCAACTTAAAACAACTTTACGATTCAAGATCTCTCTTCAAAGCTGAGAAAAATCATTTAGATCGCAGGCATCTGCTTTTCCAAGAATTAATGTTACCATTCCTTTTTACCACAGGTGATCAATAGAACAAACATGGAGAGATGGGACAGCAATCTGTGTTTTCTGCATGTGTTTTTGTGTATTAGTTTTTTGTTTTTGTTTTATGTAGGACTAGCATTTTCTAACAAATCACTACACTTTGATACAGATTTAAAGTTTCTCAAATGAATAATCACAATAAATAATTACGTTTCTAAACCAATTCATACATAAAGATCATCTTTATTCTTTATCCAAATGGGGAAAATTTATAATTAATTTTTAAATTGAATTTAAATAAATAAATGTATGTGACAAAAAGGGTGTTTTTTAAGGGATTATTACTTTTAAGGATTGTGTTGCTTTTGTAGTAACATCTGGATTGTTTTGGTGCTTTGTGTTCTTGCTTGTTTGTCCAAATGCCATTTCTGAAACCCACTGAATAAGAAACTTCCCATGCGGATAAATAAATATCAGTATAATCTAAAGATTAGTATTACTTCCTCTCACAACAACATCTCAATCACCTAAAGAATTTGCACTATGAGAAAAGCATGAGGTCCAAGACTGGACAAATAAATGTGTTTCATCTCATTGATGAACTGCTCAGTTTTCATCTGTGTGTCAAAGTATCCAAGAGTATCGACTACAGACACTGATCAGTCTGTCTGATTCTCAGAGCATCTTCAACCATCTGATTACTGGAGTATCCTCCTCCATTCTGCTCTATCATTGTGTCAATCTTCTGCAGAAGATCATTCACCTGCTGTTATTCTCACCTTCATTGCTGAAGACATGAAATCTGCCTCCACACTGATCAATTAAGACTTTTTAATGCAGGATACATGTCAATGATTTTCTCTATTGACCTTTCTAACTGATCTCCAAAAGATCTCCAAAACAATATTTTAATTAACTGCTCCTCAGCCCTTAATGAACCTGGCATCTACTCTGAAAAGAATGAGAAAAGCGTGAGGTCCAGGACTGGATAAATAAACACTTCTCCCCATATCTGTCATTAACTGCTCATGATTGATGGAAGTGTAAAAGAATCCAGGAGTATCAACTACAGACACCAATCTGCCTGAAACAGTGGCGTGTTTCTCTGAATAGTCATGGGTTACTGAATATGGGCTAAAGTGGTTTGTGTTTCCAGCTGCACTCTATCCAACACCAGTTTCACCCAGAAGAACAACCTGTCTGGATGAGACTGAAAATCAGGCTCAAGTGGAGTTAACAAGGTTTTTGAGCAGCAAATGACGGAGATATGCATGTTGTCCATCATTAGAACGGCCACATAAGTACATCACATTACATTTTCATCAACTTACAGGTACCTATGTAGTTTATTGTAGCTCTGGGTGCTCAGTTTTTCTTGTTTTTAAATACATTTGGCCAAAATCTCAAGATATAAAAGATGAAGCGCTATGCACAGGATATTTAAAACATTTGGCTAACTATACTGCAAATGCTGGCTCTTCTGCTCTTCAAATACAAAAAACATTAGCCTTTATAAACACATTGTTTCTTGAGTAAAGAAAATGCTGTACTTATTCAAACTTCAGTTCTTTATTTACCCAAACAAGCAGAGATCTCTTTCTCTCTCATTCAAAATAGCAAGGGCATTTGGGCCAATTCCGGCCTAAATGCGGCACTGTCTACGGCAAGCCATTTTAGCTCAAAATGTTTCCAGTCTTATATGTGACCCTGGACCACAAAACCAGTCATAAGGGTCAATTTTTTTCGAAATTGAGATTTATACATCACCTGAAAGCTGAATACATCAGCTTTCCATTGATGTATGGTTTGTTAGGATCGGACAATATTTGGCCGAGATATAACTATTTGAAAATCTGGAATCTGAGGGTGCAAAAAAATCCAAATATTGAGAAAATTGTCTTTAAAGTTGTCCAAATTAAGTTCTTAGCAATGCATATTACTAATCAAAAATTAAGTTTTGATATATTTACAGTAGGAAATTTACAAAATATCTTCATGGAACATGATCTTTACTTAATATCCTAATGATTTTTGGCATAAAAGGAAAATCAATCATTTTGACCCATACAATGTTTTTTGGCTATAGCTACAAATATACCGCAGCAACTTAAGACTGGTTTTGTGCTCCAGGCTCACATTTACAAAAGAAAGAAAAACAATTCTCAAAAGAGATACTGGTTAAGTAGCATGTAGCATGTAAATGTAGCATGAGGCAGAGCAATGTTTGGATTGTGGGCCGCTTGCATTTTATTATGAATTGTATTGTAAATAATTTAAAAAAGATAAGGAACACTAATGTCATCTTTGACACCTCCACAAATAACATTTTAAATTGTTTATGAGCTGTTAGGATGCCGGTCAAGACGATAGGGATCCTCTGTTTATCTGTTAAAAGAGTTATGATGTCTGTTCCACAGGCCTCATCTGAATATCACCAATCTACAGAGGGTAAAGAAAAAAGAAAACAATAACTAAATAACTTTTGCCACTTGAAATTGATTCTACATCTGTCTATGGGTCAAAGATGAAAATAAAATAAATATTTTATTTTATTTTATTTTATTTTATTCACACACATCAGAAAGTGTACTGTTTCATTTAATTTTTTTTTTTTTTTTTTCAGAGAAAAATAATGACTATCATACATTTTTACGTCCACTAAAATGTAATTCAGTGTTAACAAATCTTGTTAAGCATATTTAGAATAAGAATCATTAGATTAAATGATATTAAAAGACTCTATTTAAGTATCACAGTGCAGTGTAATTTTATATCTTGACCAATCTTTGCCACTAGGTTTTACTCATTTGTCAGCAAGACGTCTTTAATCATTTAAATATATAATAACTTATTATTTTATATATTTTATACAGTACAGGCCAGAATAAATATGTTGTTCCATTTTTAGATAAATATATCTTTATGCTGAATGACAATAGAACATTATTTCACCCATATTTTGACATTTTATTTCACAAAAGTTTTTTGAAACATTACTTAGATTTAATATGCTCTCTATGTATATGAAATCACTTTTGTAAATTTAATTTGATGCGGACACCAAATTTGATGCCTTGTCTATACACAGGAAATGAAGATAATGTCCATTCAATGTTTTTATTCAGCTCACAGCAGGGTCATTATAAATAGCAAAACAATACTTTTGGATTTTAGCTGTGATGCACCATGCTTACCTGGACATGAGGAGGAGCACTTAGGACATACACCACTGCACTGGCTATGTCATCTGCTTTTAGGCACTGTAAATAGGACATTACAACTTTTAAAGAGGTAAAACAATGACATGCAATATGGTATTCGGAGCATCAGAACTTGTCTATACCTTTATACTTGCATAGCTAGCTGCTGCTTTTTCTGGGTTGTTACGTAAGAGCCGGTAAGCAAACTCAGTCTCCACTATACCAGGAGATATACTCTGTCAAAGATAGGGAATTCTTAATTTTAGACATGCTTTGATACACATAGTCATATTACTTAAGAACATTGCATCATTCAAAACAATCCTCGATTAGCCCACTCTTACTGTGGCACGTATGTGGCTCTTAGCCTCCCGTAACTCTTGCCGCAGACCTTCTGTGAGAGCAGTTACGGCATATTTAGTGGCACTGTAAAAGTGTACATTAGCACTGGGCACCACCCGATGTCCACTCATACTAAAACACAACAGGAAATTTTAAGACAATTAGTGCTTTGTTGCCCCAAGCACAGGCTGTAAAATGAATTTAAAATGTACAACAAAACATTCCTGTACCTGTTAATGTTAATGATATGCCCATCATCAACATCTCTTTCTTTCATAGACATGTAAGCCTCACGCGTGCACACTGACAGTCCAATAACATTCACCTGCACATTTTTTTTTTTTACAATATATCTGATTAGATTGCTCTGGGAAACACTTCATCAGAAATACCTGTTTATTTGTCCTCTGAGTTACTTACATCAATCATGGTCCTCCATCCACTGGTTTTGCCACTTAATATAGGTTCAGGGAGAGCCAAGCCAGCGTTATTAATGCACACGTCAATGCCCTGATGTTGGACTTTAATCCAGGCAAACATGGATGAGATGTCCTCCTCTACCGAGAGATCACATTTGTATGGAAGCAGTGTGCCAGTGAATCCACAGCTAACACATTCTGTTGCTAATTTCTACAAGAAGAGAAAAATAATTCAGCAAGGCTTGTTGAACTGTACTACCATTCACTTCTGTGTTTGCTACTTGTTTCACTCGTTATTAACTTGTGAATGTCATATGAATATAGTTTTTGGAAGATTTCTCACAATTTAATAAATATCTTCTCCAATTTACAACAGTAGTGGGAACGAATCTAATATTTTGTGCTCAGACCAGTGGCGTAACTACAGGCAGTGCAGCCGCACTGGGGCCCGTGCCGCAGGGGGGCCCGCAGCGCACACGGGCCCTGCCCACATTGCAAGCGACTATGTTAATATAAATTAATAATAAACGTATTAATAATCAAATACAATTAGTACCGAGATTCTTCACAGAACTGAATAAATATATATAAATTCGCATAAATCATGTGTGTGTGTTTCAGTGGTCTAGTGGTAGAACTTTTGTCAAGCATTTCCGAGGTTCTGGGTTCTAATCCACCCTCGTGTAGTTTTGAAACAACTTAAAATACCCCGTAATTTTTGCTCATAAAGGTAAGAGTAATACATTCGCAAATGTAAAGGGTCTACTTTTATTTGTGTGCATTCACAATATCAACAAAACGTTGTGCTTTTATAAAATAAATAGGAAAACAGAGGATGCGCTTGCCCTTGTCTTGAACAGGAGGCTTCACAATGATGAACCGAAACTCAACTAATTGAGTCACAGATATGATAAATATATATGATAAATATATCCATAGAAAGCTTTAAATTACTACTTTAAAACGAAATAATTAAAATC